ATAATATAATATTGTCATTATGAATAATATACATACAGTCTAGGGTTTTAATCAGACCCTGTGCGTGCTGACGTCAGTTCGTCCCCGGAAGCGGAAGCTGCAGGGCGGGCACGTTGGACGTTTGGCGCGTTTGTGGAAGCTGTTGGCGCCAGTGACACAACTCCCAGATCATCGTCAGTGGAAGAAGCGAAGTGTTCACCGAGCCGCGGATATTCCTGGAAATTCGTCTCTCTCTGTTCGACATCTCCTCCTCACGGACATGGCGCAGCTCACAGAGGGAGCCATAGAGGTGAGCTCCATGATAGCGGCTGTAAACATGGTTTTCAATGACGAGATAGAGCATTAAGAAATGGCCTGGTCCGGTTCCTTACTGTCTTTGTTCAGCTGACTCCCTCACTGTCTGTAATGTCAATATGAAGCATTAGCTTAGATGCTACCTTTTGTTTGTTATGAAAACGCCACTCAGCGTGTTATTGTCAAACTGAGCTTCAGCGTTAAGTTTCACATGTGATGTTGATGACGATAGTTTTGTGTCATCATGCTAAGGTATCAAACTGATGATGTTAAAATGGTTTCACGCAAACATCTTGTGTTTCCAGACTCTGTCCAATGGCTCAGGAGTCAACGACGCGGTGCTTCAGTTGGTGGTGAGTGATACAATAAAAAAACAACACCTCACGTTGTTCCTTGCCAATTTGTGACATCACTGCAATTCATCCTGTCGCAACTCACGCTCAAATGTTCTCTTCAGTCAGTTGAAGAAAGTTGACAGCAAAGTGTAGCTGGATCATTTATTTGCTTCAGGGTGCAACAGCTCCAGAATATGACGTACAACTTTTAATTCAAGATAATACAACATGCAGCAGGTTCAGGCTGGACTGTGCCCAATACACAGGATCTCCAACAACAGCAGTGATGCAGGGAACATGATGGAAACTGAGTGACTCAGCTGCTGCAGGTTTTATTCACCAAAACAAAAGCAGATTTAGTTGAATTGGTTTGTGACATAAAACAAAACTAAACAAAAGGAGCCCACTTACAGGATGAGGGATCACAATATCAGACAAAAGTAATAGATGGGAAGTGAAATGTTGATCTTAATAATAACTTTTTATTTATAGGCGCCTTTCAGAGCCCTGCAGGTCACCTTACACTGCAGATAAAAACACAACAATACAAGAAACAATGTGTCAAAAATATCTATAAAATAAATACAATGAAGTAAACAGTGAATAACAATGTAAGACAATCAAAAAGATGAGGAAACTATTACTAACTAAAACCGTGTTGCTTGTTTTTTCACTTTTCAGAACATTCGCAAGATTGAAGGGGGAAGTGGTCCAGCTCGCTTTCGGGTGATGATGAGTGATGGGCTGCACACTCTGTCCTGTAAGTTTGGATTCACTGACTGATTAAGATATTACTTTTGAATGTGTAACATTTATTTTGTCATTCATTAAAAACCATATATATTTAGGCAAAGGCCAGTGCAATACAAATTCACAATGTGAGAAACAATGAGGAAAAAGAAAACTATGGACGTAAAGGTAAATATGTATTTGAGACTATATAATAAAATATGAAAAAACAATTAAATAATGTAGCATATATTAAGTTGATAAAAGTACAGTACATTTATATAAGAGTTAATTTTATTAACTCAAACAATCCTGACTGGGAGAGATCTTGAGAAACTAAAGAGGGATTGGCTGATGCTATATTTCTCTTTTCTGCTTGTTGTCCCGCATGTGTGGAGCATAGCATTTAAAAGCCAATATCTCAATCTCAGTGCTAACATGATTTTGACAGTGCCACACGCATATCATTCCCTTATACCAATATGTAAGGGATGCCAAAGTTCTGACAGTTACTTGTCCTGTTTCTGGGTTTTTTAAAAAATGAAATAAAGAGCCCCTGGGTTGAATCAAGCTGTGACCCTGACTCTCTGCACTTTCTTTTTAGCTTTCATGCTCTCCACCCAGCTGAACTGCATGGCGGAGGACAACAGACTGGCCCCCAACTGCATCTGTATTCTGAAGAGGCACGTGACCAATAATCTAAAGGATGGACGGTATGTGTGATGTCTAAGACTTAAATAATTTTTTTTAAATGTGCTATTATTTGATGGAAAGAAATTTGGAATCATTATTGCACAGCTAAGAATGAGAAGAAATGTGAGATTTGTACAAAGATTTTTCTGTCATTCATGGACATTACTAATTACAGACGGGTGGTGATCATTTTGGAAATCGAAGTCATAAAATCTGCTGAGGAGGTTGATGGGAAAATAGGAGACCCTACTCCATACACAGAGGGTAAGGCTCTTAATAATAAGTGCTACCAGCAGATTAATTACTCTTTGTCTTAACATGACGCTGATGAGCTGATATTTAGACATACAATAAACTCAACATATTGAGTTTTACTGTCAGCGGAGCCATTACTAATGTCAAATCCTTCTGGCAGGTACTGCTAAAGCCCCGCAGTCAGCTCCAAAGCCTGAACCCGAACCCCGTCTTCCACTGCAGCAACAACATAGAAATGAAGGTGAAAGCCTGTTATTTTTAAAATTCTAACAATGGTCAGAATTCTCATTGATGTGGAAAAACTCTTTTCCTACTAGAGTGAATTCGTAAAGAACCACCAGATGGCAGTATTTCTCTACTGCTTTTTGTAATTTGGTGCAAGTAATTTTGACGAAACTTCTTCCATCTTTAGGTCTCAAGTGTTATTGACACTCACTGTTGCGTTGACGGTTGATCTGTTTCTACCTGTTATTGTTTTTATTCATATTTTGGACACACAGTAGAACACATAAACAAACTCTTGAGCACCACTGACCTCCAGGGGAGTTTATATCAACCCTATGAACATAAAGATAAATTTATGAAATGCTGTTAGGTGTTAAGTGTAAGCAGTGGATCACTGCCTAGCAAATAACCTGGACCAGGAGAGATGTGCAAGCTGTCAGAAGGGTTTTGCTATCTTCTAGTTTCCATCATAGCAGGTATTCATCCCACTAATCTACCGTGTGGGAATTGAGGATGTGGCAAGCACCTTCCTCATCAGCACAGTCATTGTTCATTTCTCTGTGTGCGCTGCTTGATCTGGGGGCTTAATTACCAGAAGTGCAGTAGTTGGCAAAGCGGAAGGACTTAAGTGGACACTTTGAACTTTAATCCTCCGCGTGAGACGCACACAAATCAAATGTGCAGCGCTTGTTCAAACAGAAAATCTCAAAGTCAGGCAGCGCCACTCTCCTGGGGAAGAGCAGCTCCAGTTTGTTATAGCATTTCACACTCTGCCCCGATTCTGTGAAATGTGAGTCATCCTTCTCACCCAAACGTGGGATCACACGTCTCCAACAACTGGGCTTGATGAGATTTTTGGTTTTCTGTTAATCATTCATCCTGTTTGGTTCAAGTTGACGGTTAGTTGTATTTACTTACAGTCATTAGGTATTTTATCTTTGAAGAAACCTCCCTCATGAAGTGAGATAATTACAATGATCACATTTGCAATCCAAAGAAATTGGATTTATGTAATTCATCACTCTGATGAATAATGTAT